AAAAAAACACTTGTTTAATCTTTGTAATCTCCTCAGATGACAATGTAGATGCCTGACAAACGTTGTTGTTGTTGTTGTGATCATAAACTGTATGCATGTGATTACACGCAATACATGGAGCTTTTACCTCACCATTGTAACGTGCTGCTTTTGCAAGGTTCCGTGAAAACGTTTCAGCTTTTGTTTTCCTTTTTCGCCCTGAAAAAGATATCACAGATTCATCAAGTTTGTCGAAATTATCCATCCTCGATCACTTTTAGTCAGCTTTGATGAAACTCCTCTCAGCTAGCACGTCTTTTCTTAAAGTGAAAGTAGCCTTGTCACCTGACCTGAATACAGCGCGCTGATTCGCTAAAATGGACTTGTCGGCTTCTGTTCAAAAACAGCAAGTGCGCTTGTCGGCTTCTGCAGTGAAACGTGAGCTCGCGATGCCTTGAAAGTGGACAAAACCGGCTTTTTTGACAAAACGTGTTTAGGGTTCAGATTGCACTATATGTGGAGAACAATGCACGGCAATCAGCTCATTTTTTTTTTTAAAGTGGCGTTTATCGGTTTTTGCAAATGAACTCTTCACACACATATATATATATACATATATATACACATACAAAATATAAATGAATATTGGTAGATATTTACTTTTTTCTCTCTTCATTTGTTTTTCCAGAAGGATAACAAAGTTGCTGTATAGTGGTCAGAGAAAGCAGATCCAGAAGACCTGATTTGTGTGGGAACTGCATTTCGGGTCACATGTTTTGCTGAGAACGAGGAAGATAACGTACGTGTTGTAAAAATCTGTCACCAGCACTGCTTCAAACCTGGCTATTAATGAAACCGCTACTCCATTTCTTCCTGAGGAGTGGAACAAATGCTTTTTTTTTTTTTTTTTGAAGCGTTAATTTGAGAATAATATTTCCAGATGGTTTCAAATACATTATGATTTCTGAGGGACTGAGGGCTGTTTCGTTGACCTTCAATGCTTAACCTGAATTTGATATACTGCTGCTTACAGCTAACAGATTATCTAGAACAACGTATTGTGTTTTTGATCACTGAATGAGCTTTATTTTTGACTTGTTTTGCTATAAAGTATCTTACAGTGTATTTAGCATCAACATAGACTGCCTGGAACTCAGTTATGCATTGTCATATTTTTCTAATGTAATTTCATTCTTCAGCCCCCAACATCACTATTCCTGTTCCTGTAGTAAGTATAATTATAATTTTTTTAAAATATAAACGTGGATGTATCAGTCCCTCGTAAGAGGTCTGTAGTTTCAGGGCAAGCGCTTCAAGAGGTGCCAGTATTGGTAGAGTTTCACTAAAGGACGTTTTAGATATAATGGAGAAAAACACAGAAATGCAGTTTTTGAGGGAAACCAGGAAATAGCACAAATTAAAATGAGACGATATGGTCAACCAAGGCAAAGCGACCTCAGTGATATGTTTCTATTTTCTGTGGGTTTGATTTATATTTGATGAGGGCCACTTTGCAGTATGTAGCACTTTGTAGCAGACGTTTACGAAGAAATAATGCTACTCTGTGAATCTACAGAACTCTATGCTGCAGTTACTTTGACGGTGAGCTTTTACCACTAATAATTATAATCCCGTCATTCAACATTCAGATCATATGTCCTTCGCCTCATAAAACATCGAGTGAAACTGACGAGTCACACTGAGCCTAGAGCTCGCTGGGAAGTTTGAGAGTACTTATGATTATTTTACCAGATATTATTCAGTAGCAGTGCTTCCCAGTGGATCGTTTCTCCTGCTTTCTATCTTAAATGTGACCGGAAGCTGGAGTGTTGAAAAGGCAGAATGTGTTGTCTCTGTAGCTTTTCCCGCCTCTCCTCGTTCAGCTGCTGTGTTTTACAGTCACTGACTGCACTGGCATGATGTCATCATGCAGCTCTACCTGACCTGCACATTGTGATGTCATATCCACACCTACGCATCGCTCGTGATGTCACTTCCGTCGCATTTTGTAACCAAATCAGTTTTTGGCCTCTGATAGCTTTGCATTATTCTCGCAGGGAGATTTTGCTGTGGAGCAAACGGCGGCAGAATAAAGTCATTTTTTATGGATTTATCACTGAAGTTGAAGGATTGATATATTTTTACTGGCCAGTTTGTGACTCTGATCTTGATTGTGTAGCGTATGGCTGTGACATCTCTGCAAAAATTGTTTATTTTTTTTCTCTCTCCATATAAATGTTTTGCTCTGTGTTTGTTTAAACTGTTGGGATATTTGGGTTACGTTCATAATGAAATCAACTGTTTTCAGATTATAGCATACATTAAAGTACAAGGCTGTAAGATGCAAAACATTTAGTTTTGGATCTTGAGTGAAATATCCTCTTGCACTTTTCAAGCTCTTAAATTCGGTGAATAGATGCTTTATTTCAATAATACACGTCCTTTGGAATCTGACGAGAGTGAATCTTTATCTAAAGCACATGGACATGATTTACTTGGGCCTTCATAATGGGGCCTTTTATAATTAACTGGTCAATATGAACAAATAAAGAAGCTATTACCTTTACCTTTAGGAACAATAAACATCCATGCTGTCCTAAAATATCACTTTTTTTCATATATATATTAATTATTAGGAATGTTGCGGTAAAAATATCCATCAAGTATCTATTCACTTAGGCCCAATCCCAATTCTATTGTATTCCCCTTCCCTTTCCCTTCTGCCTACCCCTTGTCCCTTGAAACAGAGTGTCAAGGGGTAGGGGTGAAAATATTCCCCTAAGAATTGGGACACCACTACTATGCCGTCACACGTCATCATACGTCGTCTAGCTCCTACAATACACACACCTATACTGGTGTGCATTAGAGCCTTTAATTAGCGTTCTATATTAATGCGCTGCTTACTGACACACACACACACACATATATATATATATATATTGGAGATCACGCAGCTCACACATCCAGGAGAAAAGAAACTTGTTAACGCTGCACCACGACTTTTATTAATAACAGTTTGAATACTGAATCGCAACATTATATTTTCCAGCAACGAGAGGATAAAATCGCTGTTTTTGAAGTAAACTCACTCTAAAGAGAAACGCTCAGACGCGCATACACGCAACTTTCATCTCTCTCTCTCTGTCTCTCTCTCTCTCTCTCTCGCTCTCTCGAATTGCCAATATTTGAGAAAAGGGTTTAGCGATTTCTAATTAACTATCGTGCAGTCTGTAATGATATGACGCTAGTTAGCAAATATTAGCGATTTTTTTGCAAACATTTCTTTGAGTAACATGACCGTAAATATGAACTCACGATTGATTGTAACATAAAATAAATGATTACTTTTCGTTAAAATCTTTATTAATGTGTCTTTTTGTTTGCTCGGGCAGCCATGTTGCCGCTGTAGCCGATTTACGCGGAGATAATTCATACCCCTTCGTTTGAAGTGTGGTCCCGAAAAATCTTCGTTTGAAGGGCTGTCTGGACCTTCCCCTTCCCCTACCCCTCCAACCAAAAGAGAATCGAGACACCACTACCCCTTCACGTGAACGCGCGAAACGGAGGGGTAAGGGAAAGGGGAAGGGCTAAGGGGTAGAAGTGGGATTGGGCCTTAATGCCAGAGTTTTCTTTAGAGGCTGTGTATTACAGTGTAAATTCCAGCGGTGCGTTTGTTGAATGTTGGAACAGTGATACTCGCGTATAAACGGGACATTGCTGCATGCAGGTCTTGTCACAAACCTCCGATCTTTGGCGATGCTTGCGAGGCAAATGCTGTTCTGGAAATGTCTTGATGAACACCAAATCCTTTCATCAGGGTCGACACGCTTTCCTTGTGAACCCGGCATGGTATTTGTTCACAACTACATGTAAAGAGGTTTTTACTAGATGCAAGATTATTTTTACTACAAATTCCATGGTTAAACTATGGTTAGTGTAGCTAAAACCATGGTTAATAATTTGCGGTTACCAAGGTTAGGTAAAATTGTTAATTTTCGTAAGAGTTGTGTTGTTGTCTGCACTAGCTCCCCCTAAACCTATTATAAAATATGATTATTTGTCTGCTAAATGACTACTGTAACATTACAATAGATAATAATGATGTCCTTTATACAGTATTTTGAGTGATGACATTTATTCGTCCAAATGTTGCATAGTAAGTGAGTTTTCGTGTTATAGGAGTTCCAGCCAGTCCGTGTTTTCCGCATCGCGGATATTATAGGGCCGTATGTCTCAGAGTAATCAGAGCAATTTGGGAAAGAACTCAATTAAATCTGTTTGTGGATGTGTGTAAATATTCAAATGTAACCCCCTTTGTAATCGTTAACATTTTCATAAGTAACTAATTTAATTACACATTTTTTCTTAGTAACTGTAACTGATTAGTTACATTTATTTTGTAATTAAATTACGTAACGCCGTTACATGTAACTAGTTACTCCCCAATACTGTATTTATATTATTTTTTCCCCAGGCACTTAATTACATGTTATTTTGCAAAATGAAAATGTAGTTTACATTCATATTAATTGCAATTAGTCTAACTTAAGAAGACTTTAAAGGCAAAGTGCACCCAAAACTGAAAATTAATTTACTCCAGGAGTTTCTTTCTTCTGTTAAACACAAAAGAAGATATATTCAAGAATATTGGTAATCAAACAGTTGATTTCCATAGTATGAAAAAAAAAATACTATGGCAGTCAATGGCTACCATCAACTGTTTGGTTACACAAATATCTTCTTTTGTGTTCAACAGGAGAGAGACACTCCAACAGGTTTAGAACAAGTGGAGGATGAGTAAATGATGACTATTTTCATTTTGGGGTCAGTTAATCCCTTTAATGCATTTTACATGCAATATATTTGCTTCAGTTTTTAATATGGTAAATGTGTACTGCTGAAAAGCACTTTTGGTAAAACTTATACCTCATGTATTAAATATATATTTTTCTAATTACACATTTGTAATGATAAAATTGAAATTTAGTACATTTAAAATGTAACAACTTTAATATTGAATAGCTACAGTAATTTATAAGTAAATTATGAAGTATTTTACATGTGCTTTAGTATGTTATGTAACAAAAAATAGGTGTACTTTAAAGCACAACAAAAGATTATTAAAATATACTGAAAAACTTTAATGTGGCATTACAAAGTGCACATTTTTAAGTGTATTTAAAGTGTGTTAAGAATCTCGGTTAACTTCACTTCATTAGTTAACATTAGTTAATTAAAATGAACTAAGCATTAATACTTCTACAGCATTTATTAATCTTAGTTACTGTTAATTTCACTACTAATGCTTTATTAAAATCAGAAGTTGTGCTTGTTAGCATTAGTTCATGCACTAAATTAACATGAACTAACAATGAACGACTGTATTTTCATTCAAATTAACTAAGATGAATAAATACTGTAATGTATTGTTTATTGTTTGTTCATGTTAATGGATTAAATAACATTAACTAATGGAACCGTATTTTGAAGTATTGAAACTCAAAGTGTGTACTCTTAAGTACACTTAAATGGGCTCTTATAACAGTAATATTACATTTTCTACAAGTACAGTTTTTTAAAAAGTATATATACTTTTAAGATATGAAATATACTACAAGTGCACTTAGTTATGTGCATTATTTTTCACAATGGCTAGTCTTCTAAAATTATTTTAATATCTAAAATTCTGTGCACTTATAAAATAGTTTTGATTATAATAAAAAATAATTTTGATTAAAACATAATTGAAAAGAAATAGTCTTTAACAATTGAGTAATGTTAAATAAGCCGGCATTCTTACAACTCCAATTGCATTCTCAGAAGAAAAGAAAAGAAAAAAAGGTTGTCATTGGGGGGTAGCACCCTAAAAGGTACATATTAGTACTTCAGTATTGTATTGTATTTGTACCTAAATGGTAAATATTAGCACCTTTTTTAATAAAGGGGTTAATTTGTTGTCGTTGTTGTTTTCCTGAGAGTGTACAAAATATTGTTGTGATTGTTTTGGTTCCATCAAATCCCTACAAACAAACAAAAAAGCACGTAAAAAAAATACGTATAAAATAAGTCAGTTGATTAATATCAGCCATCACACACAGTATCAAAAAAAATTAAATTTTGTTATTTCAAATACTTAATTTTAAAATACATGGTCTACATTACATAGCCATCTGACCGCCTCAGTCAGTGCAGTGTCACAGTGGGCGGGGCTACGCAGGATTCGCTGTCGTCATGGTGGGCGTGCCCTAGTCGTGATGGGCGTGGCTGTCAGGATTTGTCATTGCACTTCCTCCTCACGCTTCTGTGCGCTGCGTGAGTGCTGAGCGGGTGTAATTCACATTAGCAGCTTTGGACCGAAGGACAGCGGTGTTTTTTTTTGTTTCATCATGGGACTCACCAGCGATCCGAACTACCGCAAACTGGAGCAATGGTACAAATCCAGCGCCGGGAACCTCAACATGAGGCAGATGTTCGGCGCCGATCCAGACAGATTCAACAAGTTCAGGTGAAACACGCATCAAACGCGCTTCCGCTGTGTATGTGAGCTCTGCTACACGTTTAGATGCACATTTCATCTCATCGAGCCTGCCAGCATCACATTGGCCGCGCATCAGCTGCTACTAGGACTCGCATCTTGGTCATTAAGGCCTATATGAACAGATCTATGCACTGTTTTTTCTAAGAAATCATCTTAATGGTCTTGCAATTTAATATCAGGGCATATATACGTGGAAATATGCACCTATCATGACGATTAGCGTTACATGGCAGCCTTGATTTCCAGGTTGATGTTGCAAGGTTATTGCCACATTAGGCCAGTAGTCTCGAGCTCCAGGTTCCGCCCTCTGCACTGCTGCACCTGCTTTATATCCTTCATTTACACTCATATAAACACACTGATAGTATGTTTAACTATTTATCTTTGCTTTAAAACAGAGCAGACATGGCCATATTAGCAGCTAGACACAAAACAAGGTCATTGGTCATCGATCTTGTGTGCTACAGCTCTACACGCACCTTCACACTGCTATTATGTGGCAGCATGCATGTGTGAGTTTCTGACCGTATTTCATTAAATGCACATGATCAGGTATTTCTCAAGTGCACTCACTGTTTATGCAATCTCATAAGGGAGTATCACATCCTCTAGTGCGACACTTCTGTGTTTATATGTTGCATATGCACCAGGCATAGTCTATTCATATTATCTCAAGTGCACTCACTGTTTATGCAATCTCATAAGGAAGTATCACATCCTCTAGTGCGACACTTCTGTGTTTATATGTTGCATATGCACCAGGCATAGTCTATTCATATTAGAGTTCATTAGCTGTGGTGGGTTAAATCCCGATGGATGCAGTGTTCATAAGTCTAGTATGTTCTTATGCTCAGAATGGTGTTGGCCAACAGAGGGCGCTATAGCAGCATGGTGTACGTGCTCTTTTGCACACACTCACTGCGGGCTGAGTCAGTACTGAACGTGCTGTGCGTGAATAGGAACTCATTTTATCTTCATTCATAATATTTAAATGTAATATATTTAAAATTCATTTGATTTACGTTTTTATAATATGCAAAATATATATTCAACTTAAACACAATTGTTATGTTTGAGACGAATTGTACTTAAATCGTTGTAATGATGGGGAGTCAGCACGTGTTTGCACTTTTTTTTTAATGCTTTATTAATTCAGTGCCACAAGAACATGAGGTATTACACATTCACATTATCAAATTAACATTATTAGCTGCCAGAGGAAAAAAAAAAAGGAAGAAAATTACATAGTTCAAGGCTTTCAGAGCATTACATGTGCACGTGTTTGCACTTCTGACGTGATAACGTGAAATTATGACGTGTGAGTCTGATTAGGTGCGTACAGCTATACTGTATAATAATAATTATTATTTATTATTATTAAAACCGTATAAATATATATTCATACAGTTTTAAATAAATAAACACTTTTGTATATGATGCATACTATGTATTTAATTTTTCTTTATATTTATACATATATATTATACATATTTATGTATAGTTTTCTTACAAATTATATCCAATTTTGTATGTCAGTACACAAAATATATACATTTACAAGATGTACACAGGAAAAAATAAAAAGCTCTGCATGCAAAATTGGTAACCATAATCTCTGCTTATACTTGTTATTACAGTAAAACTGTATTCGTATAACTGTTACATTAGTATTAAAATATTAGATAAAAAATACAATAAAGATTTTGTGGAAAGTATATGGTATTTTGGACGAAAATAATTTTGCCATTACATTTTTTTAAGGGATAGCTCAGGAATTTAAATTGTGAGGGAAAAAAATAATCATTTAAAATATCTGAAAAATATTTATTTGAGTACAATTCAGTTCTGAGAGTAATGTGGCATGCTGCAGTTTGAGAGTCACTGCTTAATATAACTCTGCTAAGATGGGCATAATATATTTTCTCAAATGGCTCATTTAGCTTTCCTCATCGGTTTAATTCATTCTCTCAGTCTAAACATCACTAAGATCCTCTCGCTTGGATGTATACCAGGCTTGAATGATGTTCCTGCATTATCCATGTTGTACATGAAGCAAAATCAAACAAATAATAATAGAGCTTTTGTATATCCTAACTGTGTGTGTGATCCTGTCTTCTGAGCAGTTTACAGATGACGACAGATGATGGAGACATTCTGCTGGATTACTCTAAGAATCTCATCAATGAAGAAGTCATGCGCATGCTCTTCGACATGGTACGGTCCACAATCCTCCTCAAGCTAAAAATGTCTTCATAAAGTCAGAGTAAAGTGTGTTACTATTAAAAAGCAGTGCAGGATCAGAGCTGTTACTGTAATCTCTCAGCTAAGCATCTTTAAACCCCTTGTCAGAAGCGTGTGTGTGTGTGTGTGTCTCCAGATGTTAATTGGCTAAGTGCATGTGTTCTTAAAGCTGCTGCTGCTGAAAATAGAATAGTTGTATCAGGTTAAGTTAGGCCTGTGTGTGGTGTAATGTTTATATAGTGCGAGTTGAAAACCAAAGCATACTTAAGTTTTGACGCAAATGCTATCGTATGTTTGCAGCCAAAAGTATAATTATATACATAATTTGACAGTGCAAACACAGGAGCATGGAATTAAAAAAAAAAAGATAATTGTAACTTTATCTCATAATTCAGACTTTGTAACCCTTAAGTCAAAATTGAAAGATATAAACTCAGAATTCTGACTTTTCTCACAATGCTGACTTTACATCTTTCAATTCCATCCTTACATCGTGCAATTCCGACTTTACATTGTGCAATTCCGACTTTACATCGTGCAATTCCGACTTTACATTGTGCAATTCCGACTTAACATCTCGCAATTCCGACTTCACATATCGCAATTCCGACTTTACATTGTGCAATTCCGACTTAACGTCTCGCAATTCCGACTTCTCATCGTGCAATTCTGACTTTACATTGTGCAATTCCGACATTACATCTCGCAATTCCGACATGACGTCGTGCAATTCCGACTTCACATATCGCAATTCCGACTTCACATATCGCAATTCCGACTTCTCATCGTGCAATTCCGACTTAACGTCTCGCAATTCCGACTTCTCATCGTGCAATTCCGACTTTACATTGTGCAATTCCGACATTACGTCTCGCAATTCTGACTTTACCTCATGCAATTGTATTTGTATATTGCAAATCTGATTTTTTTTCTCAGAATTGCAAGTCTATATTGTACATTTAACGGAAGTATACTTTGAGCTTTAGTTATCATTACAGCCCCATATTTAACCTGACTCGGTACTTCCTCTCTTCAACCAATCAAAGTAGAGATTGCAAAACTGTATCACTCTGATGCAGCAGATTTCTTACAGTAATCACAGCACAAAACACAATTGGTGTTTGTATAGTTCTTTGTATGCATGCACAAGTTCTGAGTCCCATTAACCGTTTTTTCCTGTCTCATCATGATTAGGCGCGATCGGTGGGCGTTGAAGCTGCCAGAGAGAAGATGTTTGCAGGGGAAAAGATCAACTTCACTGAGGTAAGATCTCAGTAAAACATTTCACTGAGAATTAACTTAATCTGAGAGGTTTAGATTGAAATTGCAAGACCTGTTGTAATGCACTTCTAGAATTTGCTTCTGTGTAAATTCCACTTCCATCTTCTCTAAATTTCTATTGGCACATAGCAGAAAGTTCTGTTAAAACCCTCAGTTTCCTCTTTACCTTACTGGCTGTCCTGAAACTGCAGCATGTAATGTCTCTTTTGTGGCTCATGGTAAATGCTATTCTAATGAACACCTCAGGGAGACATAACTCACATGAGATGGTTACAAATGAAACCGATGTCAATTAAATAAAGGGAGAGTAGTTGCTTATATGCCTCTTTAGGGTAGGGCTGAGTTTGTGTGTGTGTGTGTTTAGGGTCGTGCTGTTCTCCACACCGCCCTGAGGAACCGCTCTAACACTCCTATCATGGTGGACGGTAAAGACGTAATGCCGGACGTGAACGGAGTCCTGGAGCAGATGAAGGGCTTTTGCCATGTGAGTGAATATGCACGTAACAACCCACTTGTTTATAAAACACTTATTTTTTTAATGTATTTTCACTTAACTAAAATAAAATATAAAATATGAATCTATGATAACTATAATCATTTGACAGTATCCCTGTGTCATTCCAATTCCCAACCGCCAGTCATAAAGCTAGGAGAGCGTGCAAATCTCACTGTAACTGACCTCTGTAGTGATATTATATACACTGTACTCAAACTACAACTCTAAGTAATACCCACACAATAAGGTTTTATTGTGGAGAAGGAATTGCATCTGTATTTTCGTTAAACATTATTATTGTAATTAATGAAACGAGTAATAAAAATGTGTGTGTGTATATATATATATATATTTTACATTTAGTCATTTAGCAGACGCTTTTATCCAAAGCAACTTACAAATGAGGACAATGGAAGCAATCAAAATCAACAAAATGTATATATTATAAATAATAATATATTTTTTTTTTTTTTTTTACGTGGGCTAAGTGGTACTTCTCTGCTTGCATTTTTAAGTAATTTTATAATATAATATAATTTATGATTAATTGATCATTAATTTCACTGTCAGCTATGAAAATTCCTGGAAGTTGACACTGTGTATGTGTGTGTTATTCTACAGAAAGTGCGCAGTGGCGAGTGGAAAGGCTTCAGTGGTAAAGCCATCACTGACGTCGTGAACGTTGGCATTGGTGGTTCTGACTTGGTGAGTTTACTATGAGTTTCCTGAGATGCTTACACATCATAATTGACCAATAAAGGAGATTTGGCTATCGCTTTGAGTAACTGAAGTGTAATAAAACTGTCTGTTGTTAGTTACGTTTATCATAGCAAATGTTGCCTGATTCTGGACTGAAATGTCAGTCACTTCTGTTAGATATTCTCTCTTTTATCCTGATGGCTAGGACTCATCGAGTCAAGTCTGGTAATCATTCACAATACTTGTGTAATGTTTGGAATAGCATTTATTAAGTTTTGTTTTGTTTTTATTATATTATTATTAAATGCTGATTTTTACTTTTACAGGACAATAGTATGTATTATTAAAATATAAGATCTAATATCAACATTGGCTACCAGAAATCCCTTACTCTGCCTTTAATGTGATAAAATAATTTTGAAGTAATAAGTGCCAGACACATGGACAGACTTTTTTTGTCTCTAGCTGATCACATGCCTGATTTCTATTAAACAAAACTGGTACTACAAAGTGAACAAGTTACTGAAAGTACTTAATTTCTTAATGTATTTTGTTTTTTAGACGTTCACCACCCAAGAGACCATCACCAACGCTGAGACGGCCAAAGAATGGTTCCTCCAGGCCGCTAAAGATGTTAGTACTTTTACTGTTTTACTGAAAGATTCCTGATTTATGTCTAATTTTATGCACTACATTATAGATGGTTGTCTCATTCAGCGTTTTGTGTATTTTCAGACATCTGCTGTGGCCAAACATTTTGTGGCTCTTTCCACAAATGCAGTAAGTACAGGATTTTGTCAGCTGTATGCTATTTTATGTCGATGTTTTAAGTATCTTTAAAAAAAGTTTTAAAGAAATTTCCTGTTTCCTCACCAGCCAAAAGTCAAGGACTTTGGTATCGACACCAACAACATGTTTGAGTTTTGGGATGTAAGTATTCCTTACATTATATTGTTCTTGCACGAGAATGGCTGAGAATAAGGCTGAAAGTAAATGACTGAATGCATGACTGCCAGTAATATTTGACTACTCTGAATTAGCATATTACTTCTCAAAGCCCAGACTGCTTTTCTGATGCTGATTGCTCATGTTTTAGTGGGTCGGCGGGCGCTACTCGCTGTGGTCGGCTATCGGTTTGTCCATTGCACTGCACATAGGTACGTCTGCTGTATGAGCATAAGGCCTGAAACATGCTGTATGCATGTATGTGATCGCAATTGCTTCTAGCTACGCAAGTTTAATTTGGGTGTGCTGTACATAAAATCAGAATGCAATTTAAGTACGTTTTGCATTCTCAGCATTGCCAGAGAGGGGGCGCTATAACAGGTATTAGCATAACCAGTCTTATTATCATAACTAGTTTATTCTTTCAGTGAGTACGTTTACATGGACATCAGTAATCTAATTATTTTCCTTATTCTGAATAAGACAATATTGTGATTACGGTGTTTACATGAGTTGCTTTTAGAATATTCCTTTCATGTTCCGGTTTTACATGTTATAGTACATAGATCGATTAATGCCTCTCGTCATTACGTTCCCACGCGACGCCATCCGATGTCCCCTCTGGAATATCAACATACAGTTCGTCTTCAGTACTATACAGTTTTGGGTGTTTCATTTTTAATTTTACGAAAGCTTCAAGTGCAGTTAATTATATGTCATGCTATATGTGCAAACAGACGACGGCGGATAAACATGTGCCTTGTTGCTTGAAGCCATGCTCTTTTGTTTGCCATCAAACGGTTGACCACTGCCGGTCACTACACGACGGTAATAATGTGTTTTAAGGTGTGTACATGTCTATACTGCACTTCAATAATGCGATTAAAATGGGAATACTCCACATGTCTTAATTCGATTTGTGTTTACTTCGAGTATGACTTTAGCCAGATTAAGGTAATCAAAAATCTCTGTTTACATGGTAGATTCTTAATCAGAGTATTGTCTTAATCGTATTAATATCGGATTATTGTTGACCATGTAAACATACTCAATGTCAGTGAGAACCACTGAGAGAACTGGAGTTAACTAGTTAAACTGATTTAAATTCAACATTAAATCATAATTGACCCCATTTACTTTCTTAATGCATGTTCCTGGTCCTGATTTGAATGATTCATCAATGATATTCCCAAAAATATGGTTTGTTTGGTAATTAGGTAAATTTTTTTTAATCTAATTTACTGTCCACCATTTACAAATTCCTCCACTTCAACCACCTGACTCCATTCTGGTGTTCACAATAAGAAAAAAACCCTCCAAGTTCTGACCAAACATTCATGTTTATGTACTTGTGTAGAGCATGTTTCTGGCCTAACTTCTGCCTGATCCAAATGTGAAAGGCCACTAGTGCATCATCTTGCACTGAGACTATTTACACACATCTTTCTGTCTGTAAATGATCCAGTGACTTTATTCATTGTCCCCTCATAGGTTTTGACAATTTCGAGCAGCTTCTAGCTGGTGCTCACTGGATGGTAAGCTCAACTGTAGTGTGCCAGTCAACATAAAGATTACTGTACACTCCACACTGTGAGAGTACCTCAGAGTGTCTGAGAGTTTGTGTCTCTGGTGGTAACCGCTCTGTACTCTTTCTATAAGGATAACCACTTCCGCTCGGCTCCTCTGGAGCAGAACGCCCCGGTCATACTGGCCCTGCTCGGCGTCTGGTACGTCAACTTCTTCCAGGCCGAGACACATGCCCTGCTGCCCTACGACCAGTACATGCACCGCTTCGCTGCGTACTTCCAGCAGGTCGGTCTGATGAGGTTTCAGGAAAGGACCTCATTGCTGCTTATAGCAGGACACTTGTTGAGTTGTTGGTGATCTTTCAGGGAGACATGGAGTCCAACGGGAAGTACATCACCAAGTCTGGCACTCGTGTGAATTACCACACTGGACCCATCGTGTGGGGGGAACCAGGAACCAACGGACAGCATGCCTTCTACCAGCTCATTCACCAGGGTCTGTGATCCTAACCCTCCCCTGTGGACCAGTTCCTAGTTTAATTGACATGCTAATGCCCATTTGTGACGTGTTTATCACAACAGATCTTAATCTCCGCAGGCACTCGCTTGATTCCGGCTGACTTCCTCATTCCTGCTCAGAGTCAGCATCCTATCAGAGATAATCTGCATCATAAGGTATGCCAACCGTCTGCGTGGTTCAGGACACGTCTTTGTTTTCTGCTTCTCTTGGGTGACTGATGCTCCAGATGTTATTTGAGCCATGTTTGTCTAAGGGTTACGAAGCACTCTCTCGTTTCATGAATCCGGTAGATCCTGATGGCAAACTTCCTGGCGCAGACGGAGGCTCTGATGAGGGGAAAGACCCCTGAAGAGGCCAAGAAGGAGCTCCAGGGTTCTGGGTTGTCTGGAGATGCACTGGAGAAACTCTTGCCCCATAAAGTGAGTGGTTCTTTACTTGAAAACCAAGTGTTGATTCTTTGGACGGTATCTAAACTGGAGTCTGTCGGAACTGTATTTTGGTGGTTAGTGGACATGCTTTGACAAATGCGCATCCATTGGTGTGTTATGGTCACAAAGGGATTTTTGTTTGAATATACAAAAGCATTGCCAAGATTGCCTGAAGCAAGGGTAGCCAACCCTGCTTCCGGAGAGCAACCATCCTGCAGAGTTCTTGAAAATTGCAGGCAGGTGTGTTGAAGCAGGCTTGGGATTGCAGGAAAGTAGCTCTCTTTAGGAGCAGGGATGTCTAACCCTGACATAAAGTGCTTTTTATAGGCACTCCAGCAGTACACATTTTCAAACTCTTCCTAATCAAACGCATGATTTAACTCACCGAAACCACACACTCCCTTAGTAGGTACTTCTTTTGAATAAGTACTTTCTTTACCACCGTTACAAAAGCATGTTCTATTTAGTATGAACATGCATAGTATGAATGCAATCTACCAGGAGGCAGGAAATGTAGGTGGGGTGAGTGAATGAACAGCGCTCTCTTCCATACTCTATACCCACGACTAGAAACCCCAATTGCTCCCCGAAACAAAAACGGCTGCCCACTGCTCCTGGTCTGTCCACCAATGGGACTCATCAGCTTCTTCAAGAAGAACCACTCATAAATGTTTCCTAACTCCTCCCCTTTAACCCTACCTCTGCTGACCCCCTCATCCAATGAGATTAGTGAATTAGTGTTCACACACTGCTCCTAATGTGTATGTGCACTAACTTGGATGGGTTAAATGCAGAGGAAATACTATTTACGAATCCTCTCCTACGGCCTAATAGAATCCCGCCAGAAATAGTAGGTCATCGGAATACTTTTCACCTACTGTTTTGTGACACTCTCAGTTCGGACATCGTACAGTACAGTTTGAATCTTTTATTGTATGTGGGATTTTCTTCTGGTGTGTAATATTTGAATTTAGTCCTATACATGTGATCTGTTTTTGAATGACACATTGATTTTTGTAGGTTTTTGAAGGAAATAAGCCAAGCAACTCGATCATTTTCAAGAAACTTACACCATTCATGCTTGGTGCATTTGTTGGTGAGTATCAAACATATTATCCCGCTACTTCCTTTTGTAGACGTGCATTTGTTTTGCGGGCACTCAAGGACAATATTCTGTATTTGTTCATACGTTTCAGGCAGAGGAAATACTATTTACGAATCCTCTCCTACGGCCTAATAGAATCCCGCCAGAAATAGTAGGTCATCGGAATACTTTTCACCTACTGTTTTGTGACACTCTCAGTTCGGACATCGTACAGTACAGTTTGAATCTTTTATTGTATGTGGGATTTTCTTCTGGTGTGTAATATTTGAATTTAGTCCTATACATGTGATCTGTTTTTGAATGACACATTGATTTTTGTAGGTTTTTGAAGGAAATAAGCCAAGCAACTCGATCATTTTCAAGAAACTTACACCATTCATGCTTGGTGCATTTGTTGGTGAGTATCAAACATACTATCCCGCTACTTCCTTTTGTAGATGTGCATTTGAGTGCGGGCACTCAAGGACAATATTCTGTATTTGTTCATACGTTTCAGCCATGTATGAACACAAGATCTTTGTGCAAGGTGTGATGTGGGATATCAACAGCTATGACCAATGGGGGTGAGTCCAGTTTAAAGTCTTCTGCAGCATCAATTGGGTCCAGTTCAAAAGTTGCGACAGATCTTTCCCTCCAAATTATTTGCTTCAAGTCTGAAGTTTCAGGCATACGTTCATTTACAGATTTTTATCTGTCCCATCAGTGTGGAGCTCGGCAAGCAACTGGCCAAGAAGATCGAACCCGAGCTGCAGGACGACGCAGAGGTTCATTCCCACGACTCCTCCACCAATGGACTCATCAGCTTCTTCAAGAAGAACCGCTCTTAAATGTTTCCTAACTCCTCCCCTTTAACCCTACCTCTGCTGACCCCCTCATCCAATGAGATTAGTGAATTATGTATTAACGCTTGGCATAGTTCATATAATAAGCCTAGACAAGGAGGACAAGCACTTTATGTCTGTCATCATGTATAAGCCATGAGATTCTTGTGTGTGTTGTGTAAGATTTGACTGTATTCGTGTATCTGTGGACCAGTATGGGACGACTATCTGTTTGCACTGCACATTCTAGATGGATTTCATGTTCTCCTTTGGGCCAAGGAACCACAATAAATGTATTCTTTGTCACCTTGCTTCGTCGCATATTCTTTTTCTTCTGTCAAATTCCCTCCGAGATAAGTGTCCATTACATGGACCCGCATATGTTCCAGATTTGGAGGTGGCACCTCCAGAATTGATTTGATGAGCTGTTTTAATGAATGAGGTTACTCACTACCATTATTTGGCAATGCCACACCAACACAATGAGTAAAATGCATTTCTTTTTTTTATGCTAATCTGTTTTGGAAACCTAGCATGATTTGACATCACCCCTTGGTCTGGGACCAAGGGTGTAATTACTTGCACGTTACTTGGCTTTTGAGTTGAAGAGAAAATTAATTTCTCCCTGAATTAGGGAACGTGCTAACTATATGACGACTGTATTCAAACTACACTCTAAAGCAGGCTAACTTTCTTAACTTTTGAACTTGCCATGTGTTGTCAAGTAGGACGTTTTCTTTGTTCAACATCTATGCACTGGTTCCTATCAACCAATCAGACTTTGGGATTGGGTTTTAGGACTGGGATGTGTGATTGAACAGTGTTGGCATAGTTTGACAGGAATGCTGTTCCAGACAAAAGATACTGAGCTAGAAACAAAGTCACAGTTACCTGAAAGGAACGGAGTAAAGAAAAGTTTCATGTTCAATGTATTACCAAATCAGTCCATACCAAAATCAGTTGATGGTTATGAAAGTGAATCCAATATTTCTTTAAATACTGTCAGGCCAGAAGACCTTTGAGCCAACAAGTGCAATTTTGCGATTCATCAGATTAATGCATCCAATTATGTTGTTAAAAGCACATTAGATTCTTTCATCGATATCCTTTTATTTTATAGTTTCCATGTAACGCTTTGTTTCTTAAGATAAAACATGGACTAGAGTTTTACATCATAAAATAGAGTTCACCTCCAGCCCCATTTTTCCACAGCCATAGGCACGTTTGCACATGCCTAAATGAGCAACATATGATATGCACTGGTTGAGGGCGGGATTCATTTCTGTGCAGTGTGAAGCATAAAACCTGAAAGATTTACAAGATTCACACACTCATCAAACCAGCTGACCACTATAGACAGGTTGTAATCTCACAGGCGCCTTTCTAGATCTCCTGATAGCATTGGCTGATTCATTCCTGTGCGTGGTGTAGAAATGGAGGGGATTGTAGAAGGCTGTCTGGGTTTTCTATACGATCTGCTTGTGGTAATTTGTGTTGGGCTGCTGCTTCTTCGGGTTGCTGAGGGCCGGTCGGTGAGGTGGTTGGTGCTACTCATGGTTTCTGGAGTGATGTTGAGCTGCTTGGTCCATTCAAGCGCCCTTAAAGTGGGGCTTGTGAGTGTGCTGTGTAGTCTCATCCACTATGTAGGGAGAGAAGAGGTCATGTTGCCTACCAAAAACAAGGCAGTACTGATCACAGGTAAGACACTATCCTGTTTGGTCCTGTCAGACTGTGCATAACTGGCTAAATTCTGTGTTTGTGCATTTGTATATATTATGAATCTCAGCATATATTAATTGTATTTCACTGATTTTGTTATTATTTGAATTATTTTGTTTGAATTTCATGAAACCTCTCAAAAATTTTTGTTGAAATAAGAAATTGCATCTTGTATTAAGAAATAAAGCCTATTTTTAGGACCAATTCGATTTTTTATTATTATTATTTTTATTAAATTTTTTTGCATTGTGACATTGTTTTTATTACATTTAAGCTTATTTCCTCCTGAAGTCCTAATCCCGTAATAAATAATACAAGAATAAATAATTACATAAATCAATCTCATTTTTATGATATAGGTTTTAGGCATATAGGTTTTACTTTTGTGTTATTATTATTCATTATAGTGATTCTGATTTCTGAAAAAACAAAATACATTAATGTTATCAGCACTTATTTATCTATCGATCTATACACATTTGAATTTGAAAAAAAAAGATATAAATTTTGGTATATATTACATCTATAATATATATATATATATATATATATATGTATGGTATAACATATTAATCTAATGCCTTTAGAGTGATAATAAAAGTAATTAAAGCGAGTAATACAGTTAAGTATATTATTGTAATGACAATATGATCTTTGCATTACAGTAATGAGAATTGGGGGTAAATGTTCTTAATTGTTATGAAAATAATGTCACTGTACACAAAATATTAATGGTCTTAAATTGTCTATGCAATGAAATGTAAACATTTCACCCAGTAAATCAATATTTCTCTGCCACCCTAGTGAACTTTGCACTATGAACTTATCTCAGTAAGGTTAACAGCACTTCTTCCTGTAAGACCATAAATCACTGCTGCATTCTTGTGATGACACTTAACACAGACTGGTTTCTGGTTTCAAACATGAGCTGCTGCATTATTAGATGCTTTTAATGACCAAAATGATCCATAATGCATTGGAATTTTGGAATTGTAGCAGTGTGATTGTTTAAGGAACTGAGCTTGTGTTTGTCTCAGGTTGTGATTCAGGTTTTGGTCACGATCTGGCCAAGTTTTTGGACAGCGCGGGGATGAGGGTGTTTGCAGGGGTTCTGGATGAACTCCATCCTGGAGCTCTGAAGCTGAAGAAAGATGCATCTCCAAACCTCACTGTCCTACAGTTAGACATCACCAACAGCAGCCAGATCACACAGGCACATCAGTACATCCAGAGTCAAACAGGCAAAACAGGTAACAGAACCGGAAAATATAGTGTTGATATATCTAATCTTATTAATTGTATTTCCTAAGGCAAGCAATGACAAGTATGTGATATGTAACTCAGCCAAATCGTTTGTGCTACAGACATAAATGATACCTCAGATCGGCTTGTTGACGAGAGGTGGGCTTTTACTTTTGCAAAATTAAATTTTTTTTCCTGGCAGATGACAAAACAGGTGAAAACACATCACAGACTTGCACAAGGAGGGATCTGAACCATATTTAGAGACTAGAATCTCATAAAAACTTGAGATGAAGTCTTTTGATTTAGAATGAATGAATAAATATAACTACAACCACTCAAAACATACAAAAAAATCACAAAGAACATATTAGCAACAGCATAACAACTACCTAGAACACCCTAGCAACCACATGGAAACATCAACCAACATTCTAGAAACTGCACAGCAACTACCCAGAACACTCACTTGGCAACTGACCACATTGCAACCTCCTGTACAGAACAGTCATATAGCAACTACCCAGAACACCCTAGCAACCACTTAGCAATGTCATAGCAACCAAACAGAAAACCCTAGCAACCACTTAGCAATGTCATAGCAACCAAACAGAACACCCTAGTAACCACTTAGCAACAAACAAGACCACTTCCCAGAACACCCACTGAGCAATATCCTAGCAACTATCCAGAACACTCAACCAACAGCATAGCATCTACATAGAAAACACTGGAAACCAACCAGAACACCTTAGCAACATCTGAACAATTATCAAGAACACTAGCAACCACATAGCAACTTCCCAGAACACCCACTTAGCAATATGTTAGCAACTATCCAGAACACTCAGGCAACAGCAGAGCATCTATTTAGAAAACGCTAGTAACCACCCAGAACACCCTAGTAACCCACTTAGCAACAATCCGGAACATTCTAGCAACCAAATCGCAACTTCCCAGAATATCCACTTGGCAATATCCTAGCAACTTTTCAGAACACTCAAGCAACATCTACCGTCTACTTACCTAGTGACCACCTAGAACACTCTGGTAACCACTTAACAACAACCTAATAAAAAATCACCTTAGTGACGGTATAGAAACCACATAGAACACCCTAGCAATCATCTAGAACATTCCAGCAATCGCACAGCAACTATCCAAAACACTCACATTGCAACTGACCCATAACAACCAAATAGAACACCTCAGTAACCACTTAACATCTGTGCAACCATCAAGATCACTCTTGCAAACCACAGAGCAACTGCTCAGCACACCTACCTAGCAACTATCCAGAACACTCTATCAAGTGCTTAGCAACTACATAGAAAACCAAGATACCCAAGCAATAACCAAGAACATCAAGTAACCAATTAATATCCTAATAACGCATAGAATACCATAGTAACTGCAGTAATATCACCTTGAACATCTTAGAAACTGCATAGCAACCACCCTGTAATCCTAAAAACCACCAAGAACACCCTAACGACTGCATAGCAACCCCTAGAACACCCAAACAACCTTTTGGGAACATTCTAGCAATTATACAGAACATGCTCTTAGCAGCTAACCACTTAAACACTTTGCTACATCCTAGCAACTATCTAAAACACCCTAGAAACCACATAGCGACAAACTAGCAACCACCCAGAACATCCTAGTAACCACTTAACAACATCCTAATAACACCTAGAACACTCTAGCGAGTGACTGCATAGCAACCACCTGGAACACCTTTGAAACCACATAGTAACCACGCAGAAATCCAAAAACCACCAAGAACACCCTAGCGACTGTATAGCAAAGAATATCCTAGCAACTGCATAACAACCCTCAAAACACCCAAGCAACTACACAACAACATCCTAACAATTACCCAGAACACCCACTAAGCAGCTAACCCACTCAACTAGTTTGCTACATCCTAATAACTATCCAGAAAACCATAGCCACCACTTAGCAACTACTCAGAAACCCTAGCAATCTAGAAAAACTAGCAATTACCTAGAGCGCACAGTAACCATTTAACAATGACCCAATAACACCTATGGCGCTTTTCCACTGCGTGGTACGACTCGGCTCGGTACGGCTCAGCAGAGTTTATACGTCACGTTTTGGTAACGGTACGGTACGCTTGGAACCCCAACCGAGGTGGTACTAAAAAAAGTACCAGGTACCAGGTACTGTACCCAGTGGAAAACCCCCCAAAAGTGAACCGTACCGAGCCGTACCATGCAGTGGAAAAGCGCCACTAGACACCCTAGTAACTCCACAGCAACCACACAGAACACTTACAAACCCCATAACAATCACACAGTAATCCTAAAAACCCTAGCGACTGCATAGCAATCACAAAGAGCACCCAATGATTGCAAAGCAACACCCCAGAGCACTCAAGCAACCTTTTAGAAAAACATTCTAGCAACTATCCAGAACAACCTAGCAACCACATAGTAGATCAGAATGCCAAAGAAACTGCATAGCAACCACCCAAAATATCCCAGCAATGCCCCATCACATATAACAACCCAGGACACCCAAGAAACCGCATAGCCACAGGCTACAAACCACTCAGAACACTGCAGCAACCACATAGCACTGCTCTGGCAACCTCAAGAAGAAATGCTACTGTTTAAAGTTTAGTAGTATGCATACAGACAAGTGCATTGATGTTATTTTTTTCTGACTCATCTCTTGTGGACAGGACTCTGGGCACTAGTGAACAATGCCGGAGTGCTGGGATACGTGTGCGATGGAGAAATTCTGCCAATTAAAATGTATAAAAAATGCTTAGATGTAAATTTTATTGGTAGTGTGGAGATAACACAAGCCTTTCTGCCTCTAATACGACAATCAAAAGGACGACTCATCAGTATATCCAGTATGGCAGGTAAACTTTTTTGTAAACATGCATTTTTCTAGACTTCAGGTACTTAATAGTCTCTTACAAAACATTTATCCCAATCCAATTAAGGAGTATAAAAATCCCAATAAGCACTAACAGCTTTGAAATCAATCATTGGCTTCCTTCAGGAGAAGTTCCACTTCCTGGATTTGCAGGATATGGGGCATCTAAAGCAGCGCTGATCTCGTTCAATGGAGCAATTAGACAGGAACTCTCACGCTGGGGAGTCAAAGTCATCATCATTCAACCTGGAGCTTTCAAAACAAGTGAGAATAAAGACCCTTTCACACCAAGAACAATAACTATAATGATGACTATTAGCGTCCACACCAACAGACATTGTTGTTTGTTATAAGCGTGCTGCAGATATTAAATGCTCAAACTCTGAAAACCGAGTGGATTCCGATTGGCAGTCAATGTTTTTATCATTCAATAACTGGAAAAAAAATTGTTCCAAAAGTTATTCCAACAAAATCGTTCCCAGGTTGTTATTGTTATAGCTAATGTGTGGACTTCCCGATTCGCTCAGAATTACGATTATTAACACTATGTGGTTATTGTTATCGTCCTTGATGTGAACAGCCCATAAGAAAGCAAGCCAATGAACAAAAAATTATTTTTAATAAATTTTTTTTTGTAATGTAACACTATTTTCATGACTATTAAAGGTGCATTCAGTAGTTTTCTAGCTAGCATTAACATCACGGTTTCTTTCGTGTACAAATACCACAGTGGTATTAGACACTGCACTGCCATCTATCAACACTGATCAGCATGATCATCTCTAAGTTTTATGCAAATTACACCAATAATGAGTTTTAGGCTGCGTCCGAAACCACATGCTCTCTGGGTTTAGTACAATTGTACTACAAACGGAGAGGTTTTTCCTTTGCTTTTTTGAAAAGTTTTACATACATACAACAATGTTGTCTAAACAATCCCCATTCACACGGATTTGTGAAAATGACTAAAAACTCAGTCTTCAGTATTATGCATGCCTGGCCAGTAGTTGGCGATGTCACATTAGGCAGTCGTGGCCTAATGGTTAGACAGTCGTACTTGTAACCAAAAGGTTGTGGGTTTGAGTCTCAGGTCCAGCAGGAATTGTCAGGGGTGGGAGTGAATGACCAGCGCTCTCTTCCACCCTCAATACCACGACTGAGGTGCCCTTGAGCAAGACACCGAACCCCCAACTGCTCCCCGGGTGCCGCAGCATTATGGCTGCCCACGGCTCCGAGTGTGTTCACTATTCACTACTGTGTGTGCACTTGGGTTAAATGCAGAGCACAAATTGCAAGTATGGGACACCATACTTGGCCACACGTCACTTCACTTTCACTTTTTTTTTGTTAGCAACCAAGCCTCAAGATTCTTTCCAGACGCTTACCAAAATGCGTTGATTCAGCATCAGGGTTGCCAGGTTTTCACAAGAAAACCCGCCCAATCGCTACTCAAAACTAGCCCAATCGTGTTTCGAGGGGGTCCCCAGTTAAAAATCGCATTCCGGGGGGTAAAATACACGTTTTTTGGGGGGCTTCCCCTGCTAAAATTCGCATTCCAGGTGATAAATATGTTATTGGAGTCGCTTCAACCCGCGGACATGAAAAACAACCTGCGGCAACCGTGTTAAAGTAGCCCAATGCCGAGGGAAAACCGCGGACTTGGCAACACTGTTCAGCATAGCAAAATACATTGATGGGGGTGACTTGCACCATACATAACTAAAACTATTTTTTTAAATAGAATACCATGAATACTGTACAGTCTTAGGCCATGTCCACACACGTACGCGGGTATTTTTATAAACAAGAGTTTTTCCTTCTTCCGTTTTAAAAAAAATCTCTGTCCACATGAAAACGCAAACGCATGCTATGAAGCACTGGCAAGAGCATGCCAAACCAACAGGTGGCGATATAATCTCAACCGTAAAGCCATGTTGGCCAATCAGAAGCCTGAAAAATTTTCCAGTAGGTGGAGACAACAGCACAGGCTCCAACGTCGCTGTCTACACAACAACACTGCAACCGAAGTTTTTGAAAATCTTCACCCTGGCAGGCGTTTTCGAAAATGTTCGGTTTCAGTGAACTGGTGCTGCGTTTGCGTGTGGACGAACGGCCTAACCGCGTAAAAAAAGCTGCGGTTTTAAAAATAACCGCGTTCGTGTGGACAGGGCCTTAATCTCAGGTAAACGTGTACTATTAATATAATAAAAAAAAAAAAACTTATTTCGTAAAACTTTAATTAGGACCTACTATATGCACCTTTAAAGGAATAGTCCACCCACAAATGAAAATTCCGTCAGTATTTATGTTTAGTGCTATTATTTTCTGTAGAACACAAAAGAATAAAGGATATTAAAAATATATATTTTCTTTTAATTTTGAAGTAAAATATGATTTCATTTTGTCAACAATAATCCATTTTCCAGATATTTTGGGCAGCAGAGAGCAGTGGAATAGCGCTCAGGAGGACATCCTCAGCGGTCTGGCTCAGGAAGTGATGGCGTCTTATGGAGAAGAATACATCCGCTCAATGCAGCAGCGGCTGGTCAACATGTCTTCAGTATCAAGCTCAGACACGGGGCCGTTTCTGGAGGCTTTAAAGCATGCCATACTGTCCCCGAGACCAAAGCCCTTCTATTACCCCGGGGCCTCGGCGTGGGCTCTTCCATTACTCTACAGACACAGCCCCACCTCACTGTCTGACAGAATCTTCTCACGAATCTTTATGAGCAGTGATGCCCAACCAGCAGAACTCTTGAATTCTTGAGTTGTGACTCGTTTAGTGATACTAATGGCACAAGACTTGCACACTTAACATTTACATACCTCATTTGACTTTCTGTTAACAATTTAGGCAAGCAAAACCACAGCATCAGCGGTCATTTTACAGTCCAGCATGAAAGTACGGTCACATTTATAATTTTTCTGCAAAATTTCATGGGTGAAAGATTTCGATTTTCGAAACCGGTTTAACCCACGTTGACCAACAGAGCTGATAGGTTTGAAAGTGACTGCATTGCTATATTATTAACAATAGACCATTTTTGCCTGTGAAACATCACCAGAATTTCACTAATATGGCTTAATGGTTTTAAAGCCATCATCGAAATCTTGGCCATTTTAAAGCACTGATCATCACATCCAGGTCAGGTTTTTACTTTTTTTTTCTTTTCTTTCTAGGATGGTACATTTAATTGTGAAAAAATATATACATAAAGTCTTGTTCAAACAAATCCATAAAACACTTGTACCTTTTCCATGAAATGTTGGTCTTTTAACAGTGCAGGTTATCGTCATTAAACAAAAATGAGTCTAAAAAAAAAAAAAAAAAACAATTGAAAAAAAAAAAGATAAAAAAAAAAAAAAAAGTCCATTGCATAAAATATAAATATATATATATATATGGTAGATGTGTAAATAAAACTTCTCAGTACTGAGGTTTCAGGAATGCCTTTTTGGGTCGATTATCAACAGCATCGCAGTTGACGTCTTCTTTATTCTTAGTAATTGCGGAGCGATCTCGTTTCTTGGCAAACTTTTTTCTCATGCTCTCAACCAAGCTTTCATATCTGAAGGAAAAAGCAAATAACAATCAATGTCCTTCCCTCCTGTACAATGACATTACTTTGAGATCATTTCCTCTCACCTTCTAGCCATCTCTTCATCTGTAATATCAGTTTCCATTCTGCTCACATTGTCCTCCTCTTCGTCATCCTCTTCCTCTTTGTGTGTGTTCATAAGTAACATTAATTTCTACAAGAGATTCAGTTTGCTGATAAATAAAATGTTCAGTGCACAATCATGACATTAATTTGATAAGACCGTTCTGAAAGAAACATTATCACAACATGAGCAAATATTTCAGATTGCAGGTCGCAAATCTGTGATAGTGATATGATAAAAATGAACAAAACTTAATTTAAGAGCAAGTACATAAATAAAATTTAAGTTCAAAACTGTTCTTGCTTAACCCCAATTCAAATTTTCAAATCATGCTCGGATAACATATATAACACGATATAATGAAGAACAATGCTTTTTATTATTATTATTCATTTCATTATTAATTTTAAAGCAAACTTGTGGTCTCACATTTCATAAAAGTTTACAAAAGTACCTCAACTTCAGGATTGAAGCCTCTGAATGACATTCTGCCAAAAACCAAATCCTCACAGGGAGCGTAACTTCTCTCCTCAATGATATAGTTTCTGGTAAAATGAAAAGTTCCTAGTTATTTTTTTTAATAAATAATGCATGACCAAATTGACAAGACGGCATTAACACATCAAATATGTAGGATTATAAGGTATTCTGTCACTTAAGTCACACTTGAAATGTGTCACTGCATTACAAAAAATAAAAGTGTCCTCTGCAAACAGCTGACTGGTTAGTATTTGGTGATTTGTTATGAAATCAGTTCTCCTCAAGTTCACAAATCTCCTAGCAGAGCAATCACATTTACCAATAATATCAATATATTCCACTAACATCCACTATGAGATACTAATTCACAATTTATTTGACCCTCTAACTCTAGCACTTTCTATTCTATTTTAATTCTACTTTATATTTATCTTTTTTCATTTTTTTATTTAAAAAAAAACCAACAAAAAACAAACACTAGCTTTCTATTTTTTCTATTCTATCTACTTGTTTTTCTTTGTGCGTGTGTGTGT